TCTTGAACGTTCGGGGCGTTCGTCATCTTCAACGTCTTCACGGCCATCTTGGAAACTCTTATACCACTTGTAAACTCTTGTTTTACTTATGGCAGACTCACTATAGGCCTTTGTTAACATTTCACAGAATTTATTTCATTTTTTAAGCAAAATTGAATACAAATTCTTTGATCCATTTCATTCCAATAAAAACTGGGAAAAAATATTGTTGTTTATGAAGAATCCTAAGAAAAGTTTTTTAATTTGTTTTGTAAAATAAAGCTTTTTTTTGATTTCTGGCACGTCAAAGGACCTTACGTGTTATAATACATGAGACAAATAGAATTACGATAGAGTCGTCAAGAATTATGGTTTATTAAACATTAAACATTAATAACTTATTGTAAAATTGTTTCTGATTGGTAACTTTGTATGTTATGAACAACTTCTAAAATAAAAAAAAGAAATTAATATTAAAATTAAAAGCAAAAATTACAACAATTATCTTGCTCACTTTAGGCACTATAGATCGTTAAACCCAATACATCCTTTTTTCCTCTGTGAAAATTTATTTTTAAATTGTCCTTGTCTTGGTAGTAAAAGCCTTGTACGCATAAACACTATGTACCTAGAAATAGGCAGTTATTTTTCTTCACTGCAACTTTATGCAACAAGATAAAAATCTGTGACAATAAACAAACAATAAATACGTAATATACCTAGAACTACAAATGTAAATTTTTAATACTTCAAAATTAACGAGGGAATAACAATTTTCGAAACCTAATGTCTTACTTGGGTACAAAATAATAATAACATATAATTTTAGTACTGCCGACTTCAGGAACGCTTTCCTTAAAACCATCAGGCAGATTATCCGCGAATCTGTGCGAAACATGTCGATTCCGGCAACAAAACCTGGAGCCGGCCCTGGTATTCTACTGGTCACCGGGCATAAAGGTGAGGTGCTTAGCAGTCAGACCCTGGAAAGACCGGCGACGAAACACACGATAGTCGTGCAAGGATCGCACACCCTTGGCAAAACGAAAAAGAAGGGCAGTCAAAGATACTCGGCCGGTAACGTAGACTACGATAATATCAGCCAGGAGGGGGAGGAACAGCAGACTACCAGCTCGTTTAGGTCGAGGAGCAAAACCGTTGGAGACGCAGCAGGCAAGTAACAACAATTTATGTGCATGTTTACTTTTAAAATGCAAGATTTTACTTAAATGGGGTATACCGAATTTTAATAGTCAATTACTATGTAAAGTTCACTGAATCCAAATTCATAAATTTATTGAAACATACGTCTTTTAAAAAAAAATCCTTGAAGGGATCGATTTTGTTTTTCAATTACAAACATTTTGATGTACAATTTTTCTATTTGTACCATTCGGATAGATTATGAAATTGTTATTTCAGCAATATACACATTTATACCTTTTGGGCTAATGGTTTCGAAGATATTAATTAATAAAAGTAAAGTAAATATAAACTTTCTCAAAATATTTCATTTCAAGTTTAAACTTTTTCAGTTATTATTGTTTTTTGTTATTCTACAAATAGCAAGTTTGGATATATGGAAGTTTTTTATTTAATATTTCTTTGTTAGCATATAATTTAAAACAACTATTCACTACTGGAAGTAAAAACTTTTAGTTGAGCGTTCAGTGAAGTATCTGTCTTTAAAGCGTTCTCCAAATATTTCGAAGTATTTAAATATGGTCAATTTAAAGAAAACACAGAGGATTGAACTTTTAATTATCATAGGATGTGGCAATAAACCTAGAACACAAGAAGTTTGCAATTTATTTAATACAAAGTATCCAGCTTGACCTATTGCTTGTGCTATGGTTAGTAAAATTAAAAGAAAATTGAAAGAGACTGTACAGTGTACATGTTAAAGACATTCTAACATCTGGCCGTCTGAGTATTAGTGAAGAAGATCCTCACAGTGCTTCTAGCCTAGTCGCAGCTGAAAGTCCAGTCAGCTATCTTACATCATATGAAGAAAAATACCTTCCATAAAAAATTAGACTAGTGCAGGAAGATGATCCGGTCCGAAGAAGCTACCTTCTGTTTGAATGGTACAGTAAACCGTCAAAATTGTAGATACTGGAGCAAGGAAAATCCTCATTGGTAGTATAGGCAAATTCCCAATACCGGCAAAAGGTGAATGTCTGGGCAGGAATGGTGGAAAATCGGATCAAAGGTCCTTTCTTCTTTGACGAGAATATGTCAGGACAGATATATTTGGAATTTTTGCAAAACCATCATCTTTCCACATTAGCAGAGATGTTTTCCAATGAGAATGAAGGTCCCGATCTACCAAGTGATACCATTTGGTTTCAACAACTTTTTTGGACACATGTTTTCCTGGTAGGTGGATTTGCAGACGAGGACCGAGGAGTGACCAGCGAGATCTCCAGATCTCACCCCTCTCGATTATTTCTTATGGGGCTACTTTAAATCAAAAGTCTACATCAACAGACCACGATTTAGAAATTCGTGAAGAATGTCGCTTTATTAGTGCGAAAGTCATCCAAAGCGTTTTCAGAGAATTTTCGGATGCTTACTTTCAAGAAACCAATGCGGAGTAATTCGAACATTTAGTTGGTTATTGTATCCATTAAAAGCATTTTCAAAATAATTTTGATGAAAATATATTTTTGGAAATCAAAAAATTTAAATCACAAACTTTTAAATTTAATAATACCCTCTACCAAAACTATCATCCCAGAACCTTATTCGGCATTAAAATTTTGACAATTTTATTGAGTAAAATTTCTACCATTAATATTTGACTTCTGCAGACCTTTTAAATATCAATTTTTGAATATTTCACGTGTTTTACATTTTTATGCTAAACTTTTGGAGATAGAACAAAAAGTTAAATGGCAATTTAGTAGTCCGCTTGACGACCAAAAAAAAATTATTCAAATTTTTTTTATTATTATTAATAATAAGTTACAGACCCACAAAGTCTAATTTTTTATTAATAACTTTTATCGAGTGAACTATGGCACAAAAAATTAAATAAAAATTTTCAACATTTGCTACAAAATTTTAAGGGCAAGAATTTTTTGTTCATCAATAGTTAAAAGTTGTATCAAGTCTTATTATTATAATTTTTTAAGTGAACTAATGATGACAAATCAAAAAAATTTCATAAAAACTTTATATAATACTTTTTTATATCATTAGTTGTTGAATATGTTAGCGATCTTAACTTTTTTATGATTTTCTTTTTAAACGATTGTCAAAAAATTGAAAATAAAGTTGTTATCAAAACAAACGATCGATTATTTTATTTAAAAGCAACTAAAACACTTTAAAAAACCATAATAATAAGACTTGATAGGCTTACAACTTTTAAATATTGATGATATAAAAATTCTCGCTATTAAAATTTTGTAGCAAATGTTGAAAATTTTTATTTTGCCATAGTTCACTGATAAAAGTAAAAAATTGAAAAAGTGCGGGTCTGTAACTTCTAAAATATTAATAATAATAATAAAAATTGGATATTTTTTTTAAACGTGAGGTATTCAAAAATTTAATTTTAAAAGCTCTGTCATAGCTTGCAGAATTAAATAATGATAAAAAATTTATTTTCTGTATATTTCAACAGGAAAATTTTAAATTCGATGAGGGACCTCTTAAAGTTGAAAATAAGGGCTGCGCTTGTGAGAGAATTTTTGTTTGGACATGCATATTCTACGATATTTTGAGCGGAGAGTAAAAAAACGCTCGACAAGGTTGTTAAAGCAAAGTTTTAATTATTAATTCTTTATAACGTAAATGTATAATTTTAAGTATAATTTAAGCAGGCTTATATTGCCACCCGAACTGTAGGACGACAATCCACATTCAATTCATCAAGCAGCATTAATTCAATTGAAACACATAGGCAGTATCGCCAATGATCTAGTTTTGATCGCCAATGATCTAGTTTTTATTTCACTTGTTTAAATAGTTTTATAAAACTTTCATGTTTTACTGTAAAAAAATCTAGATTGTTTCTTTTAAGGCTTTGTTATCTATGGTAGTGACTCTCTTCTTTCAAACTGACAATTCGTAACACACATTTTTTAATAGAAAAACCGACTCGCTCAGATCACGACAGGAATGAGGTGGGCAACAAGTCCGAAGGGGAGGACGAGGTGGCGGTTGCCAGTCACTCCAAAGGAAAGGCAACTTTAGGAAGAACGCCAAACCACCTGACGCTAAGGTACGTTACATACGAAACAATCATCTCTTTACAAAATTTCTTAGTGAATTTTACCACAGCACCACTTCCACACTGTCGGCGGGTAGCACCGGAAGCCAGGCGCGCCTCATCCAGTCGTCGCACGCCCCCGAGACCTTCCAACCGATGCAGATCGAAGAACTAGGTAAGCAAACGCATAACGTCAAAACGATACGCGTCGAAGTGCACTCGAACTCGAAACAGCGCACGAAATCGCCGAATCGCTCCCCGAAAAAGCAGGACAGTCTCACGAAACCCGAGTGCCATGTTGCCAGAAGAGACTCCAAGACCAGCCCTTGCCAATCGAAGAAGTCCAGCCCGAATCACTCGAAGAAAAGCAGTCCGAATAACTCAAGGAAAACTAGTCCTTGCCAATCCTAGAAATCCAGTCCCAACCAATCCAAAAAATCCAGCCCGAACCATTCCAGAAAGACGAGTCCCAAAAGAGCGGAAAGCGTGAGCCCTAAGAACTCCCGACGTTCCAGCCCGTACCGCAAATCGAGAGATTCGAGCCCCAAAACGCCGGAAGGCGGCAAAAGCCCCAAAAAAATAAAATCCTCCTTGAAACAACCTTCCAGATCCTTGAGCATCGAGAACCCGACTTGTGTAGAGTGCTACTTGTCGGGAAAGACAGAAAAAGGATAGCACACGCATAAACGTAGGGGCAGTTTAGTGCTATCGAGAGTTAGCAGTGAAACCTACGAAGAAATCAAGTGTTAAAATTAATAAAACAAAAACTTTTCGGCCGATAAATCGCTCGTACTAGTGATTAATGTCTAGTGATTACCGCAAACGACTGGGCCAGTCCGAAGGACTACAGCGAATCCAAAAAACAAGTCTTAATATGAGTATGAGTAAGGACTGCAAAGGACAATACAACTCGTATAAGACTAAGCTTAAGTTTTGTCTTATACTATCCGAAACGATGGACTTTATTTACAGCAATAGTATAGGGTAAAACTTAATCAATGGACAATGTTTTTGGATTTAATCGAGGACTGGCCTATAGCTTTTAGTAGTTTTCATAGTTTTTTTATTTTTCTCATTTTGGTAGCCACCCCGCTTGCTGTAGTTAGTTTGCTTTAATGTCTGTTGGACTTCAAAACGACCCTATTTGTTTTTATATACGTACTTTGCTTAGTGGACACGATTTAGCACTTTGAAAGAATATATAAACTACCTAAATATAAAATATAATAAACAAAATATATAACCACATATATAAACATAAATGTGTATAAAATATCATTTAAGTTAATATTTTAAAACGATTTTTATTATCGCCTGTTTATGCACAAAAAACACTGCACTTCCAAATTTTGCATGATTTTTTCACTTTTTTCTAAAAATAAGTTACAAATTTTTAATAATCACACAATCACTTATTTATTATAATAATATATTTATTTATTATAATAATTCACGTTTTCAAATAATTTATTGTAAATACAAATTCACGTTTTCAAATAATTTATTGTAAATACAAATTCATATAATTGGTGCTAAATAATTAATTTATCTGTGGTAAATGCTTTTAGTGCTAACTCCCAGTAAACGTGCTCAAACCAGAATAGTTTATTTAAATACATAGTTTATTTATAAAACTAATAAATGTTAGCATAATACCTATAAAGCCCAGTCAAATTAGACAAAAAAATCCTACCTAACATTTTTCTTTGGAATCTTGTTTTGCACTGGTAATATGATCTCAAAACTCTAAAGTAAAATCGTGTCGGCGTTGCCAAATATCAAAGGTCAAAGGTCACGAAAACAGTTTTTTTATTATCTCGTAAACTATTGAATTTACGTTTTTTGGTATATTATAAAACTTGTTCCTTATGTGAGTCGGAATAAAAATTTTACTATACATATTTCACATTGGACCAATAGTTCTTGAGATATACAGGGTCACCAAATAAGTTGTCATTCTTTAAAGAAAAAGTTTTTCCTCATTTTTGCATTGGTGCCATTTTTTTTTAATAAAAAAAATCATTAAAATTTTTATAAGTATATAGAAAACTTGTGTATGATAAAAATAAATATTTTGGTAAAAAAAATTATTTTAAATTCCTTCCATCGCCCCAGAGGCATACATATAAAAATAATAATATTAAGGCTAGGGGATAAAACGTTTAAAAACAATATTTTTTGAGCCCAGATTGTTTTAGAGCCTAACTTTAATTTGGAACATTGATTAAAAAAAGTTAAATGGGGACCGGTTAATTTTAAAAATAGAAATATTTTCATTTTTGACATTGATCGGGGGTTCGCTCATTTTGCTTGTTTTTTCTTTGAAAACACGGAATTTTTTTTTTTATTTTGAATTCTTATAACTTTGGAATGGTTTTTTTTATAAACACCCTAATGTTTATATTACTACCGTTTTTTGCCCCAGCTCAAATATTATAAATTTTTATGTTTTCCATGGCTCTGGAGCAGTGAAAGGATATTTTTTAAATAATATTTTTACCAAAACGTTTATTTTGTACCTACATCAGAAACTTTTTCAAAATTGGACAATTTCCTTTTCAAAGAAGTCAAACCAAATCGGCGGATCCTTGCTTAGTCTGAAATATGGGGTGGTACTGTATAAGCGTATTGTAAAATATGAGCCTTGCCTCATGTTTTCTTAGCCTGATATCTAGAAAAATATTAGTCCTACGTAAATTATATACAAACATTTTTATACAGATTTACATAAAAAACACAGTTTATAATAACCAAAATTTACGTAAAATTAAAAAACTATTTTTAGTGACCTTTAACCTTCGATATTTGGCAAATACGACACGACTTTGCTTGTGACTTTTAGACATTATTACTTGTGACCATATAAATAATATTCCAAAACAATATTGGATGGTTTTTTTCAAAGTAATATCCCAATTTGACTGGACTTATATACCATACCATTGTTGTTTAAATATTTTAATAGATGTTAAATGTGCACAAATAAATATAATGACATTAGTAAAAAACGAAAGTACGTAATTAGCTAGAGAAAACTGTTAGTTAAGTAAAGTAAGTGCTCGCCAAAGCAAAAGTACGTATTTCGCATTTTCCAAATTTTTAAAAGCGTTTTTACGCATCCATTTATTAATTTTAATTAACTAAATTTTCACTACATTCAATGGCGACAACCAAATTTTGTCTATACTATTACCTTTTATAACGGCTAAATTTTAAAATTAAAAATATTAACTTCAAAATAAAATGAATTTAAAATATTTTTATTTAACACTATAAGACAATTTTGGATTTACATTTATAAAAAAGGTTTAGAGTGAAAATATATAGTTTAAACTTAAATAATACTTGAGCAATATAATATAAAAATTAATCCCTGCGCATTCGCCATTTTTGACAAATATTGTAATTTATTATTGAAATTTTTAAATAATTTTATTTAAATAAAAATCATAAAAAAGATCAGGAAACTTATTTAATATTAATAGTAACTTCTAATTTAAATTAAATTTAATAAATGTGTTATCAAAACAAAACAAAAACTAAATTCAGCTTAAAAAAATTAGATTGTGAAAGACATAAAAATAGCATAACTAGGGTTGAGCCGGCGGAAAAAAACTGTTTACTGATACGAAAAAAATTAAAATGTAAATTTTTCTGAAAATTTTCAAATAGGCACACTGATATCAAGAAAAATGTGAATTTTCGACTAATACATGATTATATTAATTATTTCTATTATTTTAATTCAGTAAGAATCTTCTACCGGGTTGCAAAAAAAAACAAATTCGGTTCTGTATTAAAATAACTATGATTTTATTTTACAAATTGATTTATAAAATTATAATTTTTTAATTTAAGTTTATAAATCATTCATTATTTTATAAATGGATAGGTATTTTTAATGGACTCCCAATGTTTTTTTTCTGTAATAAATGTATTAACCTTAAGGATATTTTTTTGAATTAAAATAAAGTTGTTGATTGTTTTCAATCAATTTTTCCCAAAAAAGAGAATTTTCCAAGGCCTGGGATAAAAAATGAAAAAAAAACAGTTTTTTTCCGAATTTTTTCGGTTTTTTTTTTCGACACTTTAAAACCCAAACATAACCATGTTAATTTTAAATTTAAAAGGTATATTTAACAGTTTTTGTCTACGAGGCGTCCCAAAATTTTAACTACAACTAAATTTATAAAATTCACTTAAAAACTTGCCAGCCAATCTTTATAGTAATATGCAGCGAAGCCATTAACTTTTTGAAGTTTGCTGTCATACTCAATCAATAAATTTTAAGGGTTTGCCACACGTTTAATAGTATATTACTATACGAGATAATTCATTATATTATTCACGAGAATGAGTTTTACGTCTGAAGCCGGCAAGAGATGTAAATAATCTAAGTAAATAATGCGCATTTTTTTGAGTGGAATGGCATGCTTTTTTTACACCTATTTCATAATTTTTATTGGGAGAAATAAAAAGAAATAAAGTGACAGATGTCAGATTTTATTTATTTTATGTTTTTGGAATTTCAACCACCTGATTGGTCCAAATCACAGTGAATAATGAATTTGGCCAATTACACTGTGCGACAAATTTTGACCTTACAATTTGAACTGGGATGAAATGTGGAAAAATTGAATCTATGCAACCCCCAAAACTAATCTTTAATCTTTGCTAGTTTAGCTCGAATAATGGAGATATATATATGTATATCTCCATTATTCGAGCTAAACTGGTAAAACCCCTTAAAGGATTTGTTTTGGGGGTTGCCTAGATTCGATTTTTTCAGATTTGATCCCAGTTCATTTTTTGTGTTGCACAGTGTTACCGATGCCTACCACCGGAAATAATGAGTTTATTATTCCCGTTATAATGTATATCATTTTATACGAAAAACCTAAATATTGTCAATATTATGAGTGAAAACCAATTAATATCGGAAAATTTTATCAAACAAACATTGACAGTAAACATCAAAAGATCAAAGGTAGTGCTGCATATTATTACTAGCGACATAATTGTTTTACTAAAAGTTGCTCGCTTCATTTTGGAAATTTTGATCCTGTTTAAAATATATAGAGAGTGTCTCGAAAATAAAGCTTTTTTAAATGGACTCTACCTACTTTAATATTTTATATACTAAAACCTTTCCATAAATACATACCTACATTAAGTCCCAGTGAAAGTATCATAAAAATCAGTAATAAATTTTGTTGAAAAAATGGCGAATGTGCCGGGATTAATTCTGAATTAATATGTCTATAAGACTTATTTAATGGAACTTTCTTATAAGTATACAGGGTGTCATCAAATAAGTTGTCATACTTTAAGGGTATGATATTACACGCCAAAATAGGAAAGTATTTTCTCTTTTTTGCATTAGTGCCATTCTTTTTTAATAAAAAATCATTAAAATTTAAAGTTAAGTAGAAATTTTGGGCCGCCACTGGTTGTTTCTGACCTATGACAACCGACGCTAAATATGCTTGCACAGTGGGCAATTATCTCCATTCATTAAAAATTTACATTTGTGTTATCATCAATGATTACTTTCTTGATAATTGTTTTATGTTTTGCATACTCCGCTATTTTGGGTACTTTGAATAAAACAATACTTACTTTTTATTGTAAGGTATCTCGAGGTTTTCGAGGTTTTTACGTCGATTTTAAATTTCACCTTTAATTTTTTACGTTGAATAATGCTCATGTAGCTATTTTTAAAGTGTTCCACAAAATCATAATAAATGTTCAACTATCCCGCCGTTATTATCCACACAAAGTTAACAGCGGAGTAGAAAATTATGATGTTTCGATCTTGCTATCATATCCGGATGATTTCGGATTTCATCTGCCGCTGCATTGACAAGTTCGAGGAGTTGTCTAATGTGTCAACTTTCCTCTGATACACTAAACTGTTCATGTAGCCCCAGAGAAACAATGATAACACTAAGCGATTTTGAATAAGTTTAAAAGTTTGCCTCATATTACAAAATACACTGTGCGCATACCTGTTTCTTTTTTGCTTGGATTTATAATATCATTGTTTTGAGAGGTAAAAATAATGATGATATCTAGTATAGGTCAGTGACATCCAGTGGCTCCCTGGTTTTGTCAAAAAAAAATTCATAATTTTTTTATTAAAGGATAACAAAGGATAACAATTTATTAGGTGACACCCTGTATAGATAACCCCAGTAATAAATTATAATGTAGTTTCTGTAAAAATCGGTCACAAACAGTATATTTTTTTAATGTTTTACATTGCGTCATTAATTTAAAAGGTTCACAAATTGATGACACAATGTAAAACAATAAAAAAATAGACTGTAGGGTACAGGGTGTCATGTAATAAGTTTTCTTCCCTTGAGGGGATGATATTTCACTACAATACTTTTGCATTAGTGTTTTGCCGTTTTTAATTACAAAAATCATAAACAATTTTCATTTTTAGGCATTCGTTTAATCTAACGTGTAAGCGGTTGTGGTCGACAGACTAAGTAGAGTCGGCCAGTTGTTTACTTTGTCTCTTATCAGTATTGCAGTCGAAGACAGCTGTTGCTGACCTATTAAATAAAATTTAAAAAAAAATAAAAAATAGCGGTTCTTAAAAAACCATTTGCCAAGGTGTAAAATTAAAATCTCAAATAATATAAAATGTGAGTAATAATTCTTTATTTCGAATAAAATAGTGTATTTCTTGCTCTATATTGCGACTAAAAGAGGTTGTAACATTTTTAGCATATTATTTAACATTGTTGAACTAAAATTAACGACTTTACAGTATTACAGGGCAACTTTTAAACGTTAAATGCATTAACAAAATCATCCTAGTGAACTTATGCATTTAATACTAATATTCGTCATAGATACTTAAATTTTAATAAAATGTGTTATATACAAAACATCATTAAGTTAAATAATAAAAGGCTAATTATTAATTTTTTATCTTTTAAGGCATAATGTTTTGTCTTCATTTATTTACACCAAAGCTCAATAGTCAATATTTTCTAATTTTATTAACACATTTTATCAACAACATTGAAAATGTTGTCAAAAAATACCAACCACAAAGTTTGTTAAATACAGCTATATTAATTATTATTATTTAAACCGTAACACTAATGCAAAAGTGAGAAAAAACTTAATTTGGCGTAAAATATTATCTCCCAAGGGATGACAACTAATTACATGACACCCTGTACATACTAGGTAAACAGGGAACCTTCCTTTTTTGAGTATTTTTTGAATATAATAATAGTGCTATTGCCATAAGATCATTACAATGATATCGACAACGTCAAGAAGTTACATTAAATGAATAATATGACTATTAGGGTGGGTCAATAAAACCGACTATTTTTTTTTTACTTTGTACTCTGAAAAATCGGTTACTAGACACCTCTAGAGAATTCTCACCAAACATAAGCTCTTAATTTTGATAACAAGGTCCTCCGCTTTACAATTTTCCATTTTTTCCTCAGTATTAGAAACAAAAATTTATATCTCTTCGACAACTGTTCGTTAAAAAATAACTCTCCTCATATTCTTGTAGGAAATCGAACGCTCTACAAAAAAGGTATCTTACAATTTTTTCGTAAACCTATAAATTTTCATAAAACTCAAAAATTAAATTGAAATTTTTCGAATTATTCATCAAAAACTGTTAAAATTAGTATGCATTGAAGTTTGACGATGAATATCTTTTAAACGCTTAATTTAATCGACAAATCATAAGAGACCATTTATGTAGAGCAGTTAATTTCTTACAAAACTATGAGTTGCGCGATTCATAAAAAATTTTTGTAAGCGAGTTATAAAATTCATAAGCAAATCAGAAATTTCTCTTAAAATAATTAAACTTTAACCTTCGATATCTTTTTACCGGTGAGGTTTACGAAAAAATTGTAAGATACCTTTTTTGTAAAGCGTTCGATTTCCTACAAGAATATGAGGAGAGTTATTTTTTAACGAACAGTTGTCGAAGAGATATGAATTTTTGTTTCCAATACTGAGGAAAAAATGAAAAATTGTAAAGCGGAGGACCTTGTTATCAAAATTAAGAGCTCATGTTTGGTGAGAATTCTCTAAAGTTGTCTAGTAACCGATTTTTCAGAGTACAAAGTAAAAAAAAAATAGTCGGTTTTTTTTGACCCACCCTAATGACTATACAATATATAATAGTAATGACTATACAATATATAATAGTAAAATTAATGTGAGGCGCCATATGTTTGATAATTATTTTCTTAGATATATGTATGGAAAATTGGAGTAAATGTTAATTATATATTGTTTTTTTCTGCAAAACATTTTATATATCGAATGAAATAATTCTGAAACATATGGTGTCTCATAAATTAAGATGAAAATACATTATTTAAAATCATTAAAAGAGTAAAAATAGTTTTGTAATAGAAAATCTTTTACAGCATATTTATATTTTGTAATTGATGGGATGTCCTTAATTTCATTTAATAACTTAAACTTAAAAAATGTCTACACAGGTTGCAGCAATTTGGGATATTAACTGAATATTTTTACCCCAATAATTAAATTAGACTTTTAAAAATAATGTTTTTTAATTTATAAAATCACTCTAAACCTATTTGTAATGCAAAATTGACGAGAAACCAGAATAGCGATAGCATAGACAAAACTTGGGTGCCGCCATCTGGCTGTCGAGTGAAAAGTCGAGAACTGATGCAGCTGATGATTTGTTTATAGGGTCGCCCGTGTGGAAGCCAAGAGACAGTAGTTTAGAGGCGACCTCTACCACGCTCCCGCGCAAGGCCGGTCATCACGCCAGCGCGGCTCTAAGCGCATCGCGAAAGTCGCTGATCGAGACCGGAACGGGCCTGGAGATACACAACACCACGTTCGGCAAGCAATAAGCAAAATGGGGCTCTTTATCGCTCTCGAGAGAGATTGAGACACTAACTCTAGACACTAAACTTTACCCCAATGATTACAATGTGCGGTTCTGAACTATACAGGGTGTCCCATAAGTAATGTACAATACTTTAACAGCGGATTCTACATAGGTCGAAAAAATGCTTTCTAAGGGAGCTACAGCCCCCCGAAGATGGTTTTTATTTAATATCTACAATACCGTTCAAGATAGAAACGTGAAGTTTTGGGAATTGATCAAACTTTTTATGGCCAATAAGATGTAATAATAACAATTTTAAATTTCCATGAGGGGCGGGTCAGATAGATAGTAGAGGTAAACTACCCTAACTTTTTTTCCCAGATTATTTTATTTTAGAGCTTTACACACAAAAAAGGTCATCTTATTGAACTTCGGTAATATTTACCATTTTCGATTAAAATCGATTTAAAAATTACCTTACATGGCATACAAATTCATAATGAAATCACAACTAGAGAGTAGAAATTCAATACAAGTTACATTTTATGCAATGTAACAGGAAGTTTCATCGATTCTCAAAATTTCATTTTTTATCTTGAATGGTTTGGAGATTTTAAATAAAAACCATCATTAGGGGCTCCTCTTTCAGGAGCAGTAGCTCTCTTAGAAACCATTTCTCGACCTATGTTATATAGGAACTTTTCTCCTATTTCTGTACGTAGAATTGCACGCTAATTATGGGACATTAAAATAACCTGGATTTTCCAACGAAAATGGTTGATATTCAATTCCTAGAGTTTGCCCTTCAAGGTTTTTTGCCTATATAATGACATAATATTTTATTTGGGTATTTTTATTTATTATTATTTTTTATTTATTTTTTATTTATAAGTGTTTTCTTAATAACTGACACGAAAATTATGCTAAAATTAACGCGAAAATCATGGTTGCCATGGATAAAGAACTTAATTAACGTTTTGGTAAAAATTAATTATATATTTTTTAAATTGAAATAAAAAACTTAATCCAAATATTCAAAAATATACACGGTGTTCCATTGGAAAAAACAACGTTATATTATTTTATCAATTTTACCAATGCTTTTTGTTTTTTAATTGTTGTTATAAAAATTACTTTTTTAAACAATGCGAGCTGGATTTTTCAAATTCTTTATATCTCTTAAAATACATCTTACATGATTTAAAAAATAATTTTTTTGACAACAATTCAATACCAAAAAAGCATCGCTAAATTTAATAAAATAGCATTAACATTGTTTTTGTTTTAATAAAACACCCTGGATATTTTTGTATAAGTATATTTGTGTTAATTGTTTTGTTACTAAGTGACCTGAAAATTATGCTAAATTTAACGCAACAATCATGGTTGCCATCGATAAAGAACTTTTACCCTAAAATAAGAATGACGTTTGGAACAATTTTTGTAAAAAATAATTATAAAAACATATGTTTAATTATTAATAAAATGTTTAATTCAAATATATACAAATTATATATTTGTGAAATTGGAATAAAAAACACTAACTAAATATTCCAAAATGTACAGGTTGTTCCATGAAAAAACAATTTTATATCTATTTTACTGATGTTTTTTGTTTTCCAATTTTTGTCATAATAATTAACTTTTTTAAATAATGCAAGCTGGATTTTTTAAGTGTTTATTAGCTAATATCTCTTCAAATTAAGATATTACCAAAACACACTGTACAAGGTTTTTTTTTTTAATTAATATAAAAAAAAATTAAATAGCGGTTTTCAATATAATTTAAACAAGACCAAAAATCGTTATTCTTGTAAATTTTGAAAAAAGTAAGTTTCACTTGTAAACATACACATTTATCCACATCTGAGTTTTTATAATGGCATTACTTATGAAGTTTTCTATATAACTCAAAATCTGGTATTCAACAAAAATTGAAAATTGGATAAAAACTTAGATAAACGTGATTGTTTACTTGTAAAACTTACTTTTTTTTAAATCCAGGATATCAATTTTTAGATTCTACAGGTTCTTAGTTTTTTTTTTCAAATTATTTGAGAACTGCAGATTTTTTCCAATTTTCAAATGCCATTTTAATAGATTTGAATTACGCTGTGGCTCATCAAATACAAAATTCCTCATGGTAACCATTTTGTAGTATAAAGTAAGCGTTGTCATGACAACCATGTAATGTGAAGCTTGTGTAAAAACATTATTTTTAAACACACCAAATTTTAATAAATAGTATAATATTTCCAAAAAATATTTTACTGAAGTTATATTAAAGTAAATTTTATATTTTTTCAAAAAAGCTCATCTTAAAAATACAATTGATATTTTGTAATAAGGCTTGATAAAGTATATTGGTCTAAAATAAATTATATTAATATTAATTTATAGTATAATATAACCAACCCAACAAAAACCTTGATGAGGATCCTTCTTTAAATTAACCATTTTCATTTTAAATCAGGGGTAATTAAAATAAAAAATTAAACTTTGTCTCACAGTGTCTTGTTGCTTGAAAAGCTCGGCCAACTTTAGAGCTTTCACTTGTCATTTACAGGCTATGCAAGATTTTTTCTCACATAAAAACCTTGCATAATTAAGTAGGGGCCAAAAGGGTGTTATAAAAAGGCTAATTTCAGTATTATTTTTTGTAGTTTATTATTGTAGCCAATTTCGCAAAATTAGGGAACAATCTTGACACGATCATTGCTTTATTATTATTATTTTTGTTTTTAGTCTGACTATATTTTTTTCTAAAAACAAAGTGACTGAATATATTGTGAAGGCACGCCTGTATCTGACAGAAAGCTCGTTTTATCACGTAGTGTAAATATATAAACTAAAAAACACTAATGTGGTTAATCACTCAAAAAGGACTGTTAATTAAAAAACGAATTGTTAATTCTGTACGTAATAATTGTTAAATATTTGTGACCTTACTGACTGCATCGTCACATTTTATTTACCTTGTAACGAAATTAAAATGTCAAATAATATATAAGATATAATATTAAATGTGAGTAATAATTCTTTATTTCGAATGAAATAGTGTATTTCTTGCTCTATATTTAAATGAATGTAATGTTTTAACTAAAAATATTGCGACTGAAAGAGGTTGTAACATTTTTAGCATATTATTTAACTTCGTTGAACCAAAAATAACGACTCTACAGTATTACAGGGCATGTAACTTTTAACCGTTAAATGCATTCACAAAATCATTGTAGTGAATTTCTCATATGTTAATTAATTTTGTTGTTAGGTAAAAAATGTTTTATCAACTGCGTCTTAATGATTTACGAGTGTTTTTATCCTTAACACGTTAAGATAATTTTGGATCTCAGAAACATATTCCTATAATAATAATTTGTTGAAGTTTAAATATAAATTTGTTTGACGTTTTTGATAGTTTACCATTATTGTAAATTATGCAATCAAGAAGAATCAGTAGATGATGAATAGAAATTGTCACCATTATTATTGAATATATAATATTTAGTAATAGTTAATCCATATGTAGTTTTAATAAAAATAGATATGTATTGATGGAAATACATTAATAGTTTAATAATTTAATACTAATATTCGTCATAGACACTAAAGTGTATTTATTAAATGTTAATAAAATGTGTTATTGTAACAACAAAACATCATTGAGTTAAATAACGAAAGGCTAATTATTGATTTTTCATCTTCTAAGGCCTAATGTTTTGTTTACATTTACATACACCAAAGATTTTATTCTAGTCAATATTTCCTAATTTTACAAACACATTTTATTAACAACATTGAAAATGTTGGCAAAAATACCAACCACAAAATTTGTCAAAAACAGCTATCAAGAAAAAATATATAAAGAAAAAGTAACATCGCACAATTCATTAAATAACACGATTTTTTTAGACTTGATTTCAAATTAAGAAACCAAGTTGCTCAATATAATCTTAGCTGTACAACTATTGTTGGGAAACGTTTTATATATTTTTTAATAAATAAGTTTTTTACTTTTGTTCTTTCTACTTTTAATTGGTAGACACTTTCAATTTACTTTGTACATGGTTCAAACAAATAGATTTTTGTTTGAATCATACATTTTCACTCTTTTTTCCAACCACTATAAAAATAGATGGACGGTAAACTTTGTCAGTACCGTGTGGGTATAAAAAAAGAAGTGCCAAAATCAAAAGAAACGAATTTAAATCATAAGCTGTATACTTTGCTGCACTCGACTGACAAAATTTACCCGGAAACGTGACATTTTCTTCGAATAATATTTTCCCCCGTTTTATTGTTAAGTATAAGGAATTCCTGTATGTCTGTATGTATGTCAAAAATCTAATAAGTGTGCGTATGTATGGACCTACGAAAATGGAAATTTCAAATATACAAATTAAAGCTAACAAAAGGATTTTTATTTTTCCACATTAGTCAACAAAATAAAATGTTCGGATCATCTGGTTTTGAAGCAGAACAAAAAAAATTCAAAGCAAACTGGCTGTTATGGCAAGGTTAAATAATAGGCATAGAAAATGTGCAATGTTTTATTAAAAATATAATGATACAATAATAAAAGAAAAAAAATCAAGTAATGTAATAAAAAATGGCAGTTCCTCTATATGCTTTTTGATTTACCTAATTAAATTTACATTTTGAGAAGTCCATTTCTGGGTGTTGCTGCATAAATCTAAAACAAAAAAAATTGGTTGAAGTTAACATAACAAATTAATTTTAAATAAGGGATTGTTTTAGAAAACACAATACAATATAATCTAAAAACAATATGAAAATGAAACAAACCATAGGTTTATTAATTATTATAAATTAATGCTACCTCATAGTAATGCCAATATCCTTAAAAAGAAAAAACAATAACTTGCCCAAATTTAACACATACTGGAAAATTAAAATTATCTAAGGCAAAGGATAAGCGAGATAATAATAAAAAACGATAGCCCAATGGCCATATGGAATTGTTTAAATTGCTAGGATATTTAGGATGCATTGTTCATATTATAATTTTACATATTTGGTCGACTGAAATCCACTTCATTGTGACACTGCTGTAAATTTTTGTTTCTGTCATTATTAGAACGTATAAATACCTACAGCGGAAAATAAAGAATCTATTTTCAATGCCTTTGATGCAAATAGTAGGAAGAGCATAAGAAAAGTTGCACGCGAATTTCCCGTTACCCTACTTAAATTTTTTTAATAAAATTTAGTATAGGGTCATGAGGGGTGGTGAATCCAGTGTCGTGATTAGATTTTGTTTAAAAAATATGAATTTTTAAAAACTTACTCTTAAAAACTGACATAGTAGGCCTTGTATTTTGTACTAAAAATACAGTTTATCAAGATCTACACATTAAAACAAATCAGGTTAAAATCGCACAATAAATACAGATTTTACAGGGGTGAGTCGCAAACAAATGGGTCTATACAATATATATATATATATATATATATATATATATACAGGGTGTTTCTTTTAACTTGAGACAGCTCAATATCTCTAGAAATACGCATTTCACGGAAAAATGTTTTAAATAAAAGGTTAATGTGACTAAAGGGGACATTATTTGGTGCTACCGCTAGTCACCCCCTACCCCTCCTTAAAAAAATTTAAGAAAAATGAGTTTCCTTGTAAAATGTATTATTTGAAACGTTTGAAAAACAAAAATTAACATTAACAACAATAGTCGGCTATGAAAACAATTTATAACAAATGTTTGAAATGTCGTCATTCCATTTCAACACATTTTTGAATGCGGGTAATGAATTCTGGCACTCAACGCACCAACATATCAGGCGGTATCGCCGCACAGGCGTTCCTGATCCGCTCCACCATGTCCTCCCAAGTTGTAGGAATTGCAGCGTAAACTTTTTCTTTCAAGTAACCCCACTGGAAGAAGTCTGGTGGCGTAAGATCAGGTGATCGAGCAGGCCAAATTACTGGACCACGTCTACCGATCCACCGCGGTGCACCGGCCATTGAACTCCCGATCCAACACCTCTCGAGCAATTGTCGAATAATGTGCAGGAAAACCATCTTGCTGGTACCACATGTTTTGGAGCCGTGCTAGTGGTACATCCTCCAAAAGGTCCGTCAGATCGTTTTCTAGAAAATTCCGGTACTTTTCGCCATTTAATGCACCGTCAATAAAGAAGGGTCCGATTAATCGTTCGCTTAAGGTACCGCACCAAACGTTTACCGACCAGGGACGCTGGTGCTCCACTTGGTGTCGAAATGGAAGTACGACATTTCGAACATTTGTTATACCTAAATTGTTTTCAGAGCCGACTATTGTTGATTTAATGTTAATTTTGTTTTTCAAACGTTTCAAATAATACATTTTACAAGGAAACCCCTTTTTCTTAAATTTTGAATTACAGCGCCATCTGTTGATAAATTGAAAAAAAAACTTTCAAATAAAAGTTATTCATTTTTTTATGTACTACCAAACTCTATGAAAAAAATCGGGTCATTCCATTTGACTTTCCAAAGTTACCCCCCGTTTCACCCTTAAGGAGGGGTAGGGGGTGGCTAGCGGTAGCACCAAATAATGTCCCCTTTGGTCACATTAACCTTTTATTTAAGACATTTTTCCGTAAAATGCGTATTTCTCGAGATATTGAGCTGTCTCAAGTTAAAAGAAACACCCTGTATATATATATATATTTTTTTTGATGTATTTTATTAAATAATGAAATGTATACAAAATAAAAAATAAAATTAAAATTAAAAGATTCTTATTATTATTACTAAACCAGTTCGAAATAATATTAAACTCCGTAAAGAAATAAAGCTAAAATGTCATCATGTCAGTTGAACCTAACAATCTTTAAATGCTTACAAAAACCTAGTGGTTTTTAAAATTTATCAACAATTTTTTTAGGTGGCCGGTTTTACTTGTTTTGAGTTATATAAAGAGTATATTATATAAAAAAATATATGTACCTATTCTTAGGGAAGAAATATTTCTCTTGTCCATTACAAATTATCTCCAGTTTTATGAAATATTGCTTACGTTTCTTTTTTTAATGTATATCCCAATAAAAAAAGAACAATTTTGAAAATTTTGATGCCAAAATAATATTTAATAAATTACCTACTTTTTTTAAATAAATTACCATTAGTTAACAATAAAATAAAAACTTGCATTTAAAGCGAAAGGTGAAGGAAGGGGTTAAGTAACATTTTTAATAATAAAGAACAGAAAATATTGAGGTTGCAATACCAAATTTATTTTAATTTAAAAACTAAATATTGTCTGTCCCACAATCTTAAATACTAAAAATCAAGTTAGGCAACCCACTGTACAAACTTTAACGGCGGCCATTTTTTTATAATCCATGGGTCTTTTTATCTTGTTTACAATTCTTGTGCTTTGGGTTTGTGCTGTTTATACAGATTAAAAATCGTTTTAAACATTGTGATTCTTACAGAGGCACTCGTAAGCCTTAAAAGAGTCCTTGATGTTCTACTACTCCTTTGTAAAAATTATTATATTGGGGCTTTCATCAAAATGTCAAATGTCAATTTTAAGGTTAATTTGTCGGTATGGCATATATGTTGGTTATGTTAAATAAAAATAATAATAATATACGTTTATTTAGCTTTAAGCTACAAATAAATACATTGTACATAAGATATTTTCAAAAATGGGAAATTACATATACTCTAAGTAGTTTCTTAAACATGAAAAAGTTAGCCTTTATTACAGTTGACTAGTGGACCTTTCAAACAAAATAAAATTACGTTGATAACGAGTAAAATAATTATAAACATCTTTAAAAAGTTTAACTTTTTCACAAATGAGGACCTTAGAAGCCAAGGAGTACAAGTACATTTTGTTTAGTTTTGAGATAATCATGTTTAAAGAAAAAACACATGTAATTTGTAGTAAAAATTGTTTGTTTTGTTTTTCAAAATGTGTAAGCTTAGAATTCATTTATATCCCTTGGATACCAAGTGAAATGTACCATTTACTATCTTTTTCTGTACATAACTACATTTTTTTTAAATGTCACTTGGGTTCTAGGGTCCTCAAATATAATTGAGCAACATTTCATTTCTAATTTTAAAAATAAACGTTATAAACATAATTTTTTGTTTGGCAAATAACATATTTAAAACATTTAACATTGGTATTACAGGTGTATATTTGTAACATTTTAAAATAGTTCTCATGGCACGATTTAAAATAATTTAAAATTAATTAAATTTGGTAACATATATAACAAACACGAACAGAACTTTAGATGGGGTGCAGCAATAGCATTGAACAGATTTTTTTTTGCATAAAACGACATACTTTTGGATACTCTCGATATAAAAATTACTTTTCTTGTGTATTTTCTATTGATATTATCAGCGTGTGCATGATAATTAAGGTTTTGATCAAACCAAACACCCAAAAAATATATTTACATCACTAACATTTACACGACTTAATTCAGATTTCTTGCCAAACAAAGAGAATTTTGATTTTTGTGTGTTTGAAAATACGATGTGGCTCCCGTCCCGAGGCGGGACTTAAGTTCAGTCCCGATTGACGTCACACACTGTAAATCGGTTTTTATTCCCCGAGATTTTATAATTTGTGTCAAGCTCGATGGCTTAGATGGTAGGGCGGTCGCTTGGCATGCGAGAGGTACCGGGTTCGATCCCACTAGAAGTTGTCAAACTTTTTTTATTTTTTTTATTTTATAAATTTTTTGTTTCTTTGTTAAAAAGTGTTTTATTTTTATCGTAACATAAATTTGCCCATTTTAGTTGGGTTTTTTGCTCAATGGGGCGGGGGGGGGGCCCAATGGGGCGGGGTCGGTTGGGTTGTGTTGTTGAGTTTGGGTTGGTTTGGTTTTATGACGTAACTAAAGTGCCCTTAACATGGATACAGGTACAATTTATTATTATTATTTTATTATAACATAACAAATCTTAAAATTATGACGTCAATCGGGACTGAACTTAAGTCCCGCCTCGGGACGGGAGCCACAGCGTTGAAAATAAACTATTTTCACAGATCCACGTAAATATTTTTGCCACTCTTTATTCATTTCCTGTTGCATTTGTTTCAGGTCTTTGCCACATACATACAATACAATTTTACACAATTAACTCTAAAATTGACATTTGACAGTTTGATGACAGCCCTGATGAAATAAGGTTTATTTTTTACAAAAGAGGAGTTAAATGGTTTTTCTTAGCACTTTAAGGCCTCATTTGAGGCTTACAAGTACCTCGGTAAGACACAACGTTTAAAACGATTATTAATCTGTATAAACAGCACAAGCTCAAAGCACAATAATTGTAAACAACATAAAAATGGCCGCCGTTAGATTCTGTGCAGTGTTGCAGTGATTTTTAGTATTTTTAGTACGAGATAGAACAGACCTTGTTGTATGAATTGTGGTCTTTTATTTTCTAATTTAAATGACACCTTTTAACAATAAATATTGTTATTGTAAATTAAAATAAATTTAGTTTTGCAATTTCAATATTTTCTGTCCTTTATTATTGCCCCTTCATTTATCTTACGATTTAACCTTTTTTTTGGTACTATACTCACTTATTAATAACGTCCTGTTTCTTTTGATCATCGCTTGTGGGAAGTCCTCGTTCTTTTTGCCTTTGATCGTACATCATCTTCTCAACCAGTCCACGGGTTTCCCCATCCAAATCACTCAGTTTCGACGGTTCCGGGTTGATTTTTTTCGTGCTTATTTCCGGATCAGACTTGACCAATTTATTCCACCAGTTCATTTTGTTTATCTACGAAACAATGTAAATATAAAAACCGACGTTACAAATAAATTAACTTTACCTTTTCTAAATTGATTAGCAAACTTTTACCGTCTTCTATCACCCATGTGGACTCCTCCAGCTTGATTTCGTAGGGAAAATCATCGTCCACTATGGGAGGTTGACCTTTGACACCGACGGTCAAATGTTTTTTTGTTAGGTTAACGACCAGATCTTTTTGTTTCGCCCTAAAGTTGACGTTTAATGGAATCCTAACCTGTAAGAAAAATAAAATATTTATTTAACCTTATGTAGGGCAACAGTAACATAATAGTATATTAAGTATCAAGTTTGATAAACGCCATTTTATACACGAATTTAATTAAAATTAATGAGTGTATATAAACGAGGTGCATACTATACTTTTTCCACGACAAATACTTATTAATATCTTAAAATGATTTAAATCAAAAATTTGTATAGAGCGCCATCTATGAAACAACAGGGGAAACTGTCAAATGTCACATTTTTACATTTTATAAACACAATTATAAAGGTTATAAATCGAAATGTATATTGAAAATTGACAGTTTTTCACAGTGAAAGTAAAGGAAATGTTTTATGAGGACTTTACAGTAGAGTCCGTGCCCGAATTTAAGTTATAGTTTACTGCCGGCGAAATAAAAAGGTCAGTACAATGTTCATATAAACTTTTCAAATATTGGCGTTGAGAAACTTTTTGTATTTTTGTATTGAGATAATAAAATAATTTTTACATTTAGTATTATTTTACAAGAAAGGCACTTTATTTTTAACTTCAGCCCGTGACTAAAAACCTGTTGCTAACTTCAGCCCGTGACTAAAGCGCCGTAAAGCCACAACTTGTCAATGTGTATTTAAAAGGTCACTTAGTGTCATGGAAACATGTACGATAAAGGGCGTTTTAAAGGTGGGAGTAGAAAAAACATTTTAAAATGTGTTGTTTTATAGTGTTCTATAACAGTGATTTTTTTATTGTTACTTACTACGTAATACTAATTATTTATGTTTAGACACAACTTTAATTTAATTTAATCCAATTAAATGAGTGTCAAGAAAAGTTTATAAACAAGTTGCATACTATACTTTTTCTACGACAAAAACTTATTATTATCTACATATGATTTAAATAAAATATTTGTATGGAGCGACATCTATAAAACAATAGAGTAACCAACCTAATCTGTATTACCGGCACGGCGGTGAGAATGTCAAATTTGTATGTGGAAATTAAAATGTAATCATTTTCTAAAAGCAGTTTTTACAGTGAAAGTAAAGAAAATGTCTTATTGGCAGTACAATGTTCATATAAACTTTTAAAATATAAAATATTGGCGTTGAGAAAGAATTTAATATTTTTGTATTGAGATAATAAAATAATTTTTACATTTAGTATTATTTTACAAGGAGGGCACTTTATTTTAACGATTTTATGACATTTGACGGTCAACGAACTTAAAACTAACTTCAGCCCGTGATTAAAAACCTGTTGCTAACTTAAGCCCGTGACTAAAATGCCATAAAGGCAGAACTTGTCAATGTGTATTTAAAAGGTCACTTAGTGACATGGAAACATGTACGATAATGAGTGTAAAGGTAGAAAAAAGGGTTTAAAGACTTAAAATTGACACATGTAAGTATCACGTTTTATAGCCACGCATTCTAATTAGGCAAGAGCGAAGCTTGCGAGTCTAGAAAGCTTTATAAACGAGTTGCATACTATATTTTTTCTACTAAATGTAAATTTAAAAAAATATATTACAAATTAATTTAAATATTACATACACTGTGGCAAATTTGGGATGGAAACACGTCCTTAACTTTTTTACAATTTTAATGAACAAAGGCTCAAAAGATAGAGAATAAAAAACTCTATCTAAGATATAAAAATATTTTTAATGTCACTTGACAGATGCCTACTATAACATTTTTTCTATATCAAAGTTCGGAAAAAATTATTAGGCTCGTTTTTTCGAGTACGCCACTGAATGCGGCATTCTTCAAAATGGGTAAAAAACAAATTTCATTAAAAACAAAAAATTATAGACAAGTTTTTTTATTAAATATTTATAACGAAAAATAAAACACATTTAGGAGGTTTAGGAGAAAAATAAGTACGCCACTGAACGCGGCATACAGAATGGGTACAAATTTAATTTCATCAAAAACTATTAACTATTTCAGACAACTTTATTTTACAACGTTATAAACATACATTTTTAGCATGGCTATCTTAGTTTTTTGTTTTGTATAAAAAATAATTATTGTCAAATGAGTATGACATATTTTTGTAGAAAATTTGGTTACTCTATTTTTGCATATAATATATTATACAAAAATAGAGTAACCAAATTGGTGTTAGGAACCTGTTTTAACGGCTTTTAAAATGACAGTATAAAAATGGACTATCCACCATTTAAATACAATATAAAATCAGTTTTTCGCAATTAAAGTGAAATGCTTTATTGGCAAATACTAGTTTACCGGCGAAATCAAAACGTGCAAACAAACATTGGCGTCAAGAAACCATTTAATAATTTTGTATTGATATAATTGTTTTTACATTTGGTATTATTTTACAAAAAGGGCACTTTATTTTATCGATTGTATGACATTTGACAACTTAACTTAAAGCTAACTTCAGCCCGTGACTAAAACGCCACAGTCACATGTATACAAACATACATGTTAATCCCGGGGCATTCGCCATTTTTGTAAAAATAATTATTATGTTTACAATTGCGGTGTTTTATTACAAAAAATGTAATTGAAGTTGATATTTTGAGGCAAAAACACAATTATATGAAAAAATCCATAAAAATAATGTTTTATTAAAAAATAAATCCAAACATAACAGGAAATATTTACCATTTAAATTAATATTACTAGATTAATATACCACTATTCATGATTCGCCAATTAAACTCAGACAAAAACATAAAATCTCCCCGTATAAGGCGATATTTCGTTAATTAATTGGCAACCTTGCACTAAAAAACGCACCGACCAATAAAAACTTAATTAATTAGGTGACCTTTTCTTTGGTTTTTTACTGCGATATTGTTGTTAATTGCTATTTAATATGGTCAAAAATGCTGCTAATGTATGCGGCCATATTCAATCTAAAAAGGAATAATACCTAGTATGATTTTAAAATTTATCACTTTGTAATCGAATTGTTTAATAATTGTATTGTTGTATTTGTAATGAATCGTAGGGGATAATAAATAAACGCCTACATGTAGTTGCGATGAATGGTTCATTGAAAAAATTGTAGAACGAACCTAGTTATGACAATAATATCCGCTTGTAAATAAGTAAATTGTTTCATTTAAAGTTTTTTATTTCCTATTATTAAAATATAAACAAAACAATATGTTAAATACAGTAACAATAGTAAATAGTGGTTAAAATTTTTGACGTTAAAAAAAGTAATCTACTCATACGTTAAAAAAATCTCGAGACAGATTTAATTGTTTATAAATAATAATAAAATAATTATTTTTTTAACTCTTTATAAAAAATCGGTAATAAATATGTACAAAAAAATATAAATTTGAAATATAATTTTTTTCTAAATATACTAAATATAATTAATTATGTGTTGTTTGTGCTACACCTGTGGGTTAAATCAGTATATTTTTGCCGCTACTGATTAGAATTAATTAAAATTTTTATATTGCAAAAATGCATTGAATAGTTTAAAAAATAATGTAATTTTTGGTCTACTTTTAAAACAGTTTTATATTTAAACAAAAACCAAGATTATTTTTATTTAAAACTTGTGTTAAAATTTCATAATGATATTTTATAATTTGCATCAAAATTTTATAAATAGTTTATGAGATAATGATTTTTTTTCAACGTGACTTGAAAAGAATATTTTCAAATACTTAGTTTTAATTTTCCTTCCAACATCTAAAATCGTATCGTAAATCTCATTTGGAAAATTTTTACTCCATTGCAATTTGAATTATTGTTATCCTATTTAATTCGATATTTGAGATTTTGAAATAATTATTTCAAAATTATAATTAACAATATCTTTGTTACAGTAATTGGCCGACTATAAAATACACCCAAGTATATTTTTATTTGGAGTTAAGGCATAATATACAGGGTGTTTTACATTCGTGGTCCATTAGAAGTTTCTGGGGAACGAAAGAAGATATCGATTTGAAATTTTAAATTTTAATCCATTTAAATCTATTTTTCTAAAATATTATTATTATTATTATTTATTATTATTCAAATAGAACACCCCATATATTTTTAATTTTTAAATCAAAATTCGACAAATGCGTGTCAATTATAAATAGCCCATAACTTTTTTGTTATTAGGTTTGCAGAAATGGCGGTTGAATTTTTGGAATCTTAAAACATTGTTTAAAAGAATTAATGTCACTTATTTAGCATTTTTTAACAAAAGCACATATTATACATCATTTTTAAATAAATAGGTAGTTTTTTACAAAAGAGAGGAAGGCAGAAGTCTTTCTCGACAAATTTTGTTCAATTGCACAGCTAAATCGCGCACGTTATTTGTGTTTTACGTTGAAAGGAAAAAATTAAAAAAAATTTTAGTACTCAATTTTGATTGATTATTCCTTATATCATTGATTTAGAAACTCAACGCTTTAATGCTTATGTAGTTACGTTAGTGACACTAATTTAGTGTGTGTATTTTATCAAAGGGATAATGGTGAATTATTGTGTTTTTAATTGTAAATAAAATTCAAGAACTAAATTGTTGCATTTTCATGTTTTGCCAAAAGATTCAATTCGGTAAGTACATTTGTTGGTGCAGAATTAACTAATGATAACTTTACCTAATATAATTTATATTTAAGTTTGGACATTTTTAAGAAATTGGTAAAAAAATAATTTTTGCACAAACATAACTTTAAAATCAACCATTTTTATGTTTGAGTTCTCTAAAAAAAACGCCGAAAACTGCATTTTAAACAACAAAATATACCCACGAATTTTTGGCAGCATAATATTATATAAAATACATAATACCGTTACCGTTGAGTGGAGACTTTCTTAATCAACGCTTTTAATAATGCTAAATGGTGTTTAAATTTAGACGACTTATTTGTTTGACGATTTTTACTGAATTGAAATGTTTACACTTTTCACGTTAATCACTTCTAAAATGTGTATTTATTGTATCTAATAGGTTAAATTTATATTTACAGAGACTGTATGCAATTTATTTCTTTATTCAGATTAATACTGTTTATTGGAAAACCGGTAAAAACTCAACCCAGGATTTCCTCTCAAAATACACCCAACAACACAACAAATCGAGCCACGGTTTTTTTTCACATTTTTTTAAAACATTTTCCGGCTTTATTCTCGAAAACACTCGTTTGTAACATACAGCTGATTATTAAAAGTTATACTTTTGTTACGATGATAACAACCGAGTGGTGGCGCTATTATAACGATACTTCTTTAGAGTATATGGTACTTTTGAAAAAAAGCTGTAGAATGTCAACTAAATAAAGCACTAGCTTATTGGAGACAATAAAATATAAAATTTATTTTATGAAATATTTTAATAACAAGTTAGTTAGCCTAAATATTTTTTTTAAATATAAAGCTTATTTTTTTAATAAAACTATCAATACAATATGTTTAGAAAAATTAGTACGAAAAATAATCATATTTTATAAAAAAGTAAATATGTAATTATAATTTAAAAAAAAATCCAAAACATTATTATTTTTAAATTAATTTAACCATGAAATTGTCATAAATTCCATGTTAATAATTAAAATATTATTTCAATCTTAGCTTTATATTAATAGTCCAACACTAGCATTCGATTAAAGAAATCGTGTAAAAACAGAATATTTTAAATTTTTCAATAAATAAACGACAAGGAGAATCCCTCGGCAACATTCTTTTAAAATCACACTCATTAGCAGAAACGACCTCAAAGCCTTTTAATTAATTCCGTACCCTCACGGGTTCGCGTGCATTTTTATAGGCTTATTATTTAGATAACCTCGATGCAACCGGCGTTTTTTATTTTCGTATAAATAAAATGCGCAATGGTAATTATATTCGTTTGTTCCATATAAGATACCAAGAGCATTATAAACATTACGAATAGGCTCGCGCATGCAATTATTCTAATATCACATATCAACGCATTTTAGCACAAGGATAAACACGGGAGCATTAATTTCTGTGATAAATAATAGATTTATTAATTAAGTGGCTTTTTATAGGATTTTCTACAATTTCATTTGCATTCTAGAATCTCTTAGTTTTAAGTTTTAATTTCGTAGCGATAGCAGTGCAGTGTGACAAAAGAGACATTTTTCACAATAAAAAAATCTATTTTCCAAATGACACAATAAATGCACAAAAAACATTGCAATAATTAAAAAGAAAGAAATTGGTTTACTTTACATGAAAAGGAAAATTAAATACTGCAAATACTTACCGAGTAAATGCCGTGACGAAAGATAACCTTAAAAAAACACGCTGTTTGTTTGTAAAGCGCAAAATAACAATAGCGATACCATTGCCTGCAGCGGCGCCATCTCGTGCCACAGTTATAAACTACATAGGTTACAGAGTTCTTTTATATGTAATGCTAAACCCCAGTGTATTTTATCACAAAGCTGTGTTTATTTAGGCGGTTTGTGACGAAGTCATTAAATATTAGGACAAGGTTTGGTCACGCTTAAAAAATTATTCACAGACATTTTATCACATTCTTTAATAGTACTGAGGAGTTACTTATTTGGTATTTTATTTTAGTTTTAGAATTCTGTTTCATACAAAACCTATGAAATATATTCAAGTTTTCACTATTGCAATATGATTGGGACATGGGGTTATAGAGTGTGATGCTAACTTTCAACCTTAATTAAGACATTACAAACATTTTTATATTTAATTAAATTTTTTTTTATTAATTTTTGTTATTTTAAGTTCTTATTTATGTATATAAATAGTTATACAAGGTGTCCCTAAACTTACTGGTATAAATTTAGGAAAAGATTAAGCAAGTTAGAATAAAACGAAAACCTAAATAAATATTTTTCCTAATAATAATAATAATAATAATAATAATAATAATAATAATAATAATAATAAAATGTCTTTATTTTAGTAAAAAAATATGTTTTTACAATACTTAACTAGGCGAAGTCTAGCCTCAGGCTACTCCACTCAACCTAGTATGGCAATATTAACACGCCGAAAAAAAAAAGAGAAAAATTCAGAAAAACCTTAAATCTAAATAATTTAAAAATAAACACTTAAGTAAATTCTTTATAAATAATACAAAAACTAGTATGATTATTAATACAAACTCAAAAAGTTTTGTTTTAGCCTACGTTTAAACGTATTTAATGAAAGAGTTTTTAATTCCAAATTTACATTATTATAAAGTATAACAGCATTATAGCTAAAAGAACGCATAAACATGGATAGACGAAATTGTGGTAAAGATAAATTATTATTTTGTTTTTCACGCAAGTAGGTGGGAGTACTCGTCAAAATAATTTGGTGTACATACACTGATAGGTTTAACTTATACAAATTTTCTAATTTTAACCAACCCAAATCTTTTGTTTCCAAGATAAAGGGTGATTAAGTGTTACTTATCATATCAGTTTTTTTATTATAACTTCTACTATGGTAGTCTTGGAAAGGTGATATTTTGCGATTTTTAGATTACTCAGTTCGGCTACCATTAAAAAGAAGTACCTTTCAAACTTCGATAAAATAAACCGTTTCCGAGATATTCGAGATTACAATAATTGTTATATCGCATTATTTAAAAGGATTAAAAGGTATATGATAACAAATTTTATTTTTTAATTGAAAAAACTAAAAAGGGCATTTCATGAGCCTTGGGATTTTTTGCCCTGACCGTCAATACATTAAAAAAATTGTAGTTTTTAACCATACGTAATTAGGAAAAAATATTTATTTAGATTTTTGTCTTATTTTGACTTGCTTAATCTGCTCCTAAATTTATGCCACTAAGTTTAGGGACACCTTGTATATTAGCTGTCTCAATTTATTATTTTTTAATAAGAAATGTTAGGGAAAACTGACAAATGGCAGACCATGTGTTAACCATATTATTAAAAAAAACACTTTTCAAAATCGTTTTTCGAACCCGTGGACTTTTGTACGTCAGCAATGGTATCAAAAATGCTCATTTTAGCATAATTTCAACTCTGGGAACAGCCAGAAGTCGCAGGAAGCCAAATCTGGCGAGTACGGAGTACTACGGTACCTTTGTTGGCGAAAAACATTTCTGTTAAACCGTGGTATGTATGAATTATTTTAGCTTGTTCCAGGACTTGAAGAATCAATGTTGTCGACCTTTATAATATTATGTCGGCCACCAAGTAATCAGACCGAGACTCCATTTACGCAATTTTCTTATATATTGTTATAGGGATATACGGATTCAACAAACCCAGTTCGCAACTTGCCGACCAGTAAATTCCACAAGTGTTGCGCAAATTGCAAACTATTATCTCTTAGGCACTCGCATGAGGGCAAGGATTTTACAAGTATACATACTTGAATATAAAAAACGATTTAGTTTTTCTACACTGACATAAAAAACTTTGTTTCTTTCTTATTCTAATTTAAGAAGGTTTGGGCACGATATTAGTCGCCATGAGAAAATGTTGAAAAAAATCAAGGTTGTAGTAAAGTCTACTTAAAAGGCTTTACAAAGTTTTAGATAAGGTTTGCTAAGACTACACGGGGTTTTATTGTTTATTATTGCTAAACTGTGTTGTGAATGCTGACAAAAATTTATATGCCAATTCTATAGGTAAGTACAAGTGCATACGAGAAAAAAAATCATCGATTTCTTATTGGTGTGCTATAATTAAATATATATATATATATATTTAATTATAGCATACCAATAAGAAATCGATGATTTTTTTTTTCTATATAATATATGGGGCAAAATTTGCCAAGTGTACCAGGTGAAAAAATTGTTGTCACCGATTTTGTTTAAACTTTACTTATTTGTTGTTCTTATAACGAAGAATCATAGCATAAAATTTTTTTGCTCTAGGATTGTTCATTCAAGAGTTATGGATTATTGAAATTTATCGATTTTTTACTTTTTGGTGAAATCGCTTTTTATTTAAAAATTCATAACTTCTGTTCATCTCTTTATTAAATATTTCAATTTAACCACCTTAAATGATTTTTTCCGTACTTTTCAATGAGCTATACCGTTTTTGCAAAAAAATAAAAATTGCAATTTTTTTTTAAATTTTGCAAAATTTTGCATTTTTTGAAACAATGTGTATTTTTTTATTTTTTTTAAAATAGCATAAAATCCAAGTTTATTATGTTACCTTTGAATAAAAAAAAATTTAGAGTGGGCCCGACATGTAGAAGGGAAGTTTTTCATATTTGAATGCCGCACGGTCTAGCCATCGAATAGCTACTACACTGCCGTATGCGTTTATACCTAGTAGATGCGAGTAAACGAATAAAAAATGATAATTTAAAATGTAAAATTATGTTTGAGTAGTCAATGATGTATTTTAAATATTTACACTGCCGCACGATATAGTTTTTTTATTGTGTATTAGTCCTTCGGAGGGGACTTTAAGCCCGCGGTCCGTTCCTACCCCTAACCCGCACAAGCCATTAAGTTGGCTTATGGGACTTCTTAAGAAGTAAGGGTGGAACTAAAAGAGCACTTTTGTATATAAACTGTATTTTTTGCACAAATTGTTTAACCATGGGTCTACACATAGATTTCGCAAGGAGGGTCGATGATATTAAATAAAAAATGTATTGTTATAACCGTAAAGGCGCCATTCAGCTTATAGGCAAGCCGTTACGGTTATAACAATACATTTTTTATTTAATATCATCGATCCTCCTTGCGAAATCTATGTAGACCCATGCTTAAACAATTTGTGCAAAAAATACAGTTAAAAAACTATATCGTGCGGCAGTGTAAATATTTAAAATACATCATTGACTACTCAAACATAATTTTACATTTAAAATTATCATTTTTTATTCGTTTACTCGCATCTACTAGGTATAAACGCATACGGCAGTGTAGTAGCTATTCGATGGCTAGACCGTGCGGCATTCAAATATGAAAAACTTCCTTTCTACATGTCGGGCCCACTCTAAATTTTTTTTTATTCAAAGGTAACATAATAAACTTGCATTTTATGCTATTTTAAAAAAAAATAAAAAAATACACATTGTTTCAAAAAATGCAAAATTTTGCAAAATTTCAAAAAAAAAATTGCAATTTTTATTTTTTTGCAAAAGCGGTAATGCCCATTGAAAAGTACGGAAAAAATCATTTAAGGTGGTTAAATTGAAATATTTAATAAAGAGATGAACAGAAGTTATGAATTTTTAAATAAAAAGCGATTTCACCAAAAAGTAAAAAATCGATAAATTTCAATAATCCATAACTTTTGAATGAACAATCCTAGAGCAAAAAAATTTTATGGTATGATTCTTCGTTATAAGAACAACAAATAAGTAAAGTTTAAACAAAATCGGTGACAAAAATTTTTTCACCTGGTACACTTGGCAAATTTTGCCCCATATATAATATATAAAAGGAGGTGTGACTGAGTACACGTTATTCTTTGAAATAAAAAGGATTTTTCAACATGAAGATTTTTGTATAATATAAGCATATCTGTGGGTTATATGTATAGTACTATTTTGAGTAGCTGTAAATAAAAATGAACATAGACATATACTCCTGTCAACTGACAATTGAAGCACTGAAGATGGCTTAAGGCCGAAAGCGCTCTGCAAATTAAAACTTTCACAATACACGATCATACAAAAAAGAAAAATCCTTTATATATAATATATGCCTTAATTAAATATATATGAATTTTCTATTGTTTTTTTTTTAATTTTCTGAGGTGGTTTGACGTTTTAGCAAACAAGCACTTACATAAATCAAAGGTAATTAAGCCCTCTATAACTT